TCTAGCATTGCCTCCTCACCTAACAAGGTATCCAGCTCAGGGGATTCTTCATTTTAGTGTGACTTGGGAGGGTGCAGTGAATTCAACCATTGCTTGGGACTCCTGTGTTCCATATTGGATTGTCTTGGTGAGTCTGTATCTGATTCAGCTCCCCGCTAATGTGCCTGGGAAATCAGCAGATGATAGTCCAAGTACCTGAGCCCCTGCCATGCATTTAGGAGACCTGGGTGGAAATCCTGGCTCTTGGCTTTGATTTGGCCCAGCCCCAGCTGCTGTGACCATCTGGAGCATAAAACAATAGATGCAAAATTTCTGTCTCTCTGTCACTCTGCCTTTTGAATAAATAATTAAATCTTTAAAAATGAGATTTATTTACTCTCCTTAGAAAACAGTGGGGGCTAAACATAAAACTGGGGCCATATTATACAGAGTATGATAGTATTTTACAACCTGAGCATCCCAGGCCAATATTCTTCTCACTATCAATTCTTTTTTTAAAAGATTTATCTACTTAAAAGGGATAGTTAGAGATGAGGGAGAGACACAGAGAGAGACCTTCCATCCTCTGATTCACTTTCCAAATGTCTACAATGCAATGGCTGGGGCTGAGACAGGCCAAATCCAGGAGCCAGGAGTTTCATCTGGGTCTCCTACGTGGGTGCAGGAGCCCTAGCCCAAGCCATCCTCCACTGCTTTCCCAGGCCATAGGCAGAATGGCTCAGAACAGGAGCAGCTGGGACTCAAACCAGTGTCCATATGGGATGCTGGTGCCACAGGCAGAGGCTTTACCTTCTATGCCACAGCGCCGGCCCCACCAGCAATTCTAATATCTGTATTGCACTTTATCCTGTAGTTGTGCATGACTGATTAATCCAAATCCCCTTTATTGAACACATCAGTTACTCTGAAAGACTTTACTGTTATGACTCATGCTGCAGTAATAATTCTTATGTATGTCTCCAGAGAAGATAACCGCTGAGGGATGCCCTGGCAGGATCATGAGTAACAGGTGAGGGTGGAGCACATAACCCCTGCTTCTCTTCCTGGGCATGCCTTCTCTTTGCACTATTTTGGACTGCCATAAACTAATGAAACGGCAGAGCCCTTTCTAGGTTCCGCGTACCGGCTCTTGTCTCAGGACAGATATGTCTAAGTTTAGAAGTCTGAATACCAGCAGGATTCTTAATATTTTTGAGGCTGTTCTCATCTGTTCATACTTTTGGCTAACTTGGGAATTAGTTTATCAGGCCTCTCCCCCACACCCCAATTTCCTTTCAGATTTGTCTTGGATGATATTAAATGTATAAACTGATTCGATACTGTATTAGGCACTGCTGCATGACAGGGCCCCTCCAAGTGTAGTTTATATAAATAAGTAACACATAGGCAGGTGCATCTCATACCCTTCCTGAGGTTAGGAATCCAGGAGCAGCTTAGCCACGTGGTTCCGGCCCCAGGCTGTCTCACTTGACCAGAGCTGGGGGTCCTCTTCCAGCCTCACAACATGAGTGTTGGCAGGAGGCTCCAGTTTTTCTGCATGTGGGTTTCACATCACGGTTTCCCGAGGGAGAGAGGCGAGAGCGAGCCTGAGATAGAAGCCGAATGTCTGTCATGACATACCACCACTTGCAGCACATTCAGCTGACCCTAGAGACCAGCCTGGTATGTGTGAGGTGATCGTGCAAGGGTGTGAGTTCCAGAAACTGGAGATTCCTGGCACCCATTCAGGAGACTGGCCAAGCCAGACGTGAATAGGATAGCTTATAATACTGGGTCTTTCTGATTGTGAATGTGCTGTGTTCCTAGACCAACTTAAATCCTAGATATGCTCTCAGCAATGATGGTAACTTTTCTTCATTACTGGTCCTCACATTGTGAAATTCTTCTCTAGGATCTTTTATTTGCATTGCATTTTCTAGTCTGGTGTTGTACTCCCATGGGGACACTCCTGGTTTTTATGCCTGTGCGTTTCCAGTGGTGACATAGCAGAAACTACTGTAGATTCTGGGTTGCAAAACTGAGGCTAGGAGAGTTGCTGGATGCTTCTGGGTGCAGCTTCCCTACGTAAGCCGGGGTAGGGTCCTGTCATGACCATCAAGCCACCTGCTGCCCCACAGATACAGCGCATCTGCCCATCATTCCCAGGTCCCTCTCCAGCAGCCTGTCTGCACTGGCCTAGGCTCTAGTCTGTTCCCTTTTGAAAGCTTCATTCTATTTGAAGAGACACTTACCCAGCACCACTGTGCACCAGGCAGTGTTCCAGGTCAGCGAACCTGCCAGAGAAAGACAAATACATGATAACCAAATAAATAATTGAAGTGGTATTTTACAAAGTAAGTGCTAAGGGAGAAAACAGAGCAGGAAGGCAAGGGTCAGGAGTCCAGAGTGGGTGAAAAGTCTGAGGCAAGAGTTGAAGGAGGGGATTGAGCCAAATGGGTTCTATGCAGCATTGGCTCCAGGCCCTGAGCAGGGTGCCTGGTGTGTCTGGCAAGCAACAGGGAGGCCCAGCGTGAGGCCAGCAGCCTGGAGCTGGAAAGACAGGGGAGGAGACTGGGGGCTGGCGGTGGCATCTAAGGGGGTAAGGGGTGGGACAGATCATAGAGGGAATTGTGGGCCCCTGCAGGGATTTGTCCTTTTTTATTTTTTTAATTTATTTTATTTTTATTTTTGACAGGCAGAGTGGACAGTGAGAAAGAGAGAGACAGAGAGAAAGGTCTTCCTTTACCGTTGGTTCACCCTCCAATGGCTGCCACGGCTGGCGCGCTGTGGCCGGCACACTGCGCTGATCAGATGGCAGGAGCCAGGTACCCATCCTGGTCTCCCATGGGGTGCAGGGCCCAAGCACTTGGGCCATCCTCCACTGCCTTCCCGGGCCACAGCAGAGAGCTGGCCTGGAAGAGGGGCAACCGGGACTAGAACCCGGCGCCGCTAGGTGGAAGATTAGCCTAGTGAGCCGCAGCGCCAGCCCTTTTTTTATTTTTAATTGATGTTCCCATTTCACCCACATTCATTTAATTTGCTTACAAGTCAGAGAGACAAGGAGATCTTGCATCTGCTGGTTCATTGCCCAAATGCCTGCAGCAACCAGGGAATGGGCCAGGCTGAGTCAGGAAACAAGAACTCAATCCAGGTCTCCCTTGTTGAGGGAAGGACCTCCCAGGATGCACATTAGCAAGAAGCTGTTTGGGAAGCAGAGCTGGGACTCAAACCCAAGCACTCCCGATAAGGATGTGGCATCTGAACTGCTGTGTGACTTTGGCTCTGACTCTGAGTAAGGTGGGCTTTCAGTTGTAAAAGAATCTCAGATGAGGGTCCGGAGCTGTGGCGTAGTAGGTAGGCTAAACCTCCACGGGTGGCACTGAATTCCCATACGGGAGCTGGTTCATGCCCTGGCTGCTCCACTTCTAATCCAGCTCTCTGCTGTGGCCTGGGAAAGTAGTGGAAGATGGCCCAAGTTGGCCCAAGTCCTTGGTCCTCTGCACCCATGTGGGAGACCTGGAAGAGGATCCTGGATCGTGGCTTCGGATGGATCCACCTCCGGCTATTGCGGCCATTTGGTGGGTGAATCAGCAGATGGAAGATCTCTCTCTCTCTCTCTCCCTCCCTCCCTCTCCCCCTTTCTCTGTAACTCTACCTCTAAAATAAATCTTTTTTAAAAAAGAATTTCAGGTGGAATCAGAGGTATGGGCACCTGCCGTTCTACCCTCTTGTCCCCACTGGCAGCGCACACAGTCCTTGTGCCTTGTGTCCTGGGATCCAGCCGGAGCCTGAAATTTGTCTTTTGTGCCTCCTGCCTCCTCCTCTCCCCACCACACCAGTGCCAGAGCCATCTCCCAGGCCTCAGAAAAGAGCAGGCATTGTGATGCAGCAGATTAAGCTGTGGCTGGATATGCCACATCCCATATCAAGTGCTTCAACCCTCACAGCTCCTCTTCTGATCCAGCTTCCTCCTAATGTGCCTGGGAAGACAGCAGCTGAAGACTCCCCTGCTTGGGTCCCTATCATTCATGTGGGAGACCCAGATGGAGTTCCTGGCTCCTGGCTTCAGCCCAGCTCAGCTCTGGCTCCTGTGGTCATGTGGGGAGTGAACCTGCAGATGGAAGATCTCTTCCTCTCTCTGTTTCTTCCTATCATTCTGCCTTTCAAATACATTATAAATAAATAAAAATCTTTTTTTAAAAAGAAGTGCCTCAAGCAAACAAAGTCTTTCAGTTTAAGTGCTCCAAGTGGAGTGATTGGTTTATCCATCCCCACTTCCAGACTTCCTGGCATGGGAAAGCCCAGCTCCGGCTGCAGGTTTGGGTCCCTCCCTATGCCAGTGGCCGACTTCCAGAGGCTGGGATTTTGGATCACATTGTGGGATTTGTGAGATGCATTTCATTTCAGTCATCTGAATTATAATTACACATATATAATTATATACACTCTATATCTTACTCATTGTATAAAACAGCAAAGAATTGTCTGAAGTGGTCTACTTTGCTCTTCAAAGGGGGGGGGTACCTAAGAAACCATGCTGAAGAATTGGGTGTGTAATTTCCATATTTTTCCTTTGTCTATACAAAAAGGAAAGAGCCATCTGGACTGTTTATAATATGTATTACTCTGTGTGCGACGCTGGGCATGGTGTCTTCTCATTTTATCTGCGTGGACATTTTCCTTCCGCAAAACAGCGGACCCCATTCTCTCTGACAGGCACAGAGGGCATTCAGGTGCTTTCCAATTCCTTGCACAACAGGCCTGCGTCAAAAGGAATTGCGTTAGCGTGCAAAATCAAACACGCCACAGCGGCCAAACTGGAGACGAAACGAAACCAGCCGAAAGGCCACCAGAACCCTTATCCCGCGGCCCTGCGTCCAGGCCATTAACGCCCATGGCCAGGGCATCCTCCCGCACCCAGTCCCGCCCCCTCCAGCCCCGGGCTCCCCACGTAGCAAGAGCGGGGCCCAGGCTGGACGCCAGGGGGCGTCGCGGGCTGTGCCGGGCCGGCCGTGGCTCCGCCCGCGTGTTTTCGGAAACCGATTCGGGCTCGCGCAGGCCGCGACCCGCGGCGGGGCAGGCCCCCGGGGCTCCGCGTCTCCCGGCCTCCTGCGGCACTTGGCCTGGGCTCGCCGTGCAACTGCCCTCCCTCAGGGAGCTCGCCCGCCCCGCCCAGAAGGGGGCGCTCGCCGTGCCTGCCAGCGTCGCTGCCCAGCTCTGCCGGAGGACGTCCACCTCGGCGACTCACCTGGCTGCCCCGACACTGCTCCTCCCGCCCTGCGCGCGCCCGCCCGCTTTTGTCGTGGGTCGTCTGGGGGGGGGGGGCTCCAAGTTGGCCAGCAAGAGGCCGGCTCCCCGGCGGCTGTCCTCCTCCTGTGTCTTGTCAGGCGTGGGCGCCACCCAGCCACAGGTAGCGCCAGAGGCAGGAGTGAAAGACGGACCTGAGAGCGGAAGGTGGGAGTCCCAGCCCACAGCTCTGGCGGTGGCAGAAGCATCTGCGTGGGGGCGGCAGAGGGTCCCGGGCACCCTGTCAGCGCGCCTCTTTTTGATGCGGTGGACTGAGCCCCTCAGAGCCACTGAGCCACGCCCCTTCCTTCCCACAGCTCTTGGGTGCCTGACCTGTCTCCCGCCCTGTCCCCCCCTGGGGACCTAAGTGGACGCAAAGGTCGCCAAGCCCACCAGGCCGTCTCGCTGGAATCCTGCGTGCCTCTCTCTGGTCAGATGACACTTTGAAACCCTCAACAGATTCAGAGTGGCCAGTGGGCGTCAGATTTGATGACTGGGTCCCGATGCAGCCACTTGTCGATGGGGACAGCCAGAGGCGAGTCACTCAGCCTTCTCCCAACCCAGCTTCCTTGTCCGGGTAAAACGAGGAGCTCTGGGCCCGTGTTTATTCAAGGTCTGTCTTTGTGTTTCAGCAACAGCATCCCTCCTGCCTGTCACAGGCCAAAGTGGGGGGGGGGGCGCTTCTAGTCCAAGCAGGAGGTGTGACCCCACCCTGGCCGGGGTGCATCTGATCAAGATGGACAGGAGCCGGTTTCCTCTTCTTGTTGGTGAGCTCCAGAGGCCTGCCACAAGCAATGAGATCGATAGCCACCACCTAAATGGGCACTATCTGAGGGACTAAGCTATAGCTGGCCTAGGCGAAGGGAAAGGCCTGTGCATTTCCACCCTCCCCTTGCATTCCACCGGGAGCCCCGCTTCAGCTGCTCTGTGTTGATTCCACTTCATTTTCTCCCTTGGCTATGATACAGACAGGAGGAAAAGTCTTTTCTCCCCTAGCACAGAGTTTTCGAAGCATTACCTTGCTATGCCCGGTGTCCTGGAAAAGCCAGCTGACAATGATGACGCAAGTAGAGTGAAGGCCCGAGGAGCTCAGTAGCTCCTGCTGGCTCCTCTGGCTTCTGAAATTGGCTCCCAGGACATGGAATGAGCGTGCACACAGCCGTCTCCTCCTCCTCTTATCTGTGCAACAGAGATCGGTTCTCAACTGGCCGGGGGCAATGTCATTGATACAGCTGGTGTCATTGTTACCTTCCACGAACAGATCACTCGACACCTACCGGCCCAGGCAGAGCTGGACCTGGGCATTGCCCAGCTGAGCTGCAGGCCTGGGCCCTCCCCATTGTCCCAGAACCCCAAGTGAGGCCTCGATGCAGGTGTTGCTGGGATGCGGTGCTTGGTGACCCAACAGAAGGACTGAATTTCGACTGGCGGCTGCTTTTCCCTGGAGGATCTTGGCTGTCTCTTTGGTGCCTGCTGCCTGGTGTCTTTTGCTGTTCTGGGGCAGAGGAGATGAATTTATCCCCGGCTGGCTGCTGAGGCAGAGTGATGATGGGGCCCAGATCAGGGGCACTGGGAGCGCCCCTGGTGTGAGGAGGCAGGGCGAGGAGCGGCATCCGGCCTGGTGCAGCCTCCGGGGCTGGTGGCCGCCTGCGCGGTGCCTCGCAGGTGGCATCATGCTGCAGCAGATCCTGCACGACTTGTACATCGACCCTGAGCTGCTGGCCGAGCTCAGTGACGTGCAGAAGCACATCCTCTTCTACAAGATGCGAGAGGAGCAGCTGAGACGCTGGAGGGAGCGAGAGGCCGCGGAGGCCCTGGCCCAGGCCGAGGGCCTCAGGCCCCCTCAGGGCAAGCGAGGTATGTGGTGAGAGGGGGCTGCTCACCAGCGCTCCAGGAGGTGGAGGTGCTGGGCTCTTCAGGAGAGGCGCTGGTGTGATGAGGGCTGTGGGCCCAAGACCTTTGTCCTATCAGCCTGGGCTTTAATCTTTTGGCCGGGATGCCAGGGCTTTGGGGTGGCATCCGGGTGTATCCCAGGACTTGCTGTATTACATGTGGAAGGTCTCAGTTCTGGGACGACACCCTCGTGGGGCCCCCAGATTGCACTGACGTGGTTGGTATTTCCATGGTGGGTGAGGGGGCATATTCTTGAACCTTACCACTGGTTCTTGGCTAGGGTGCATTGCACACTCAGTTCCTGTCTTCCTTGTGAGGCTCAGTGGTTCCCAGCTGGGGCCGGCACCGTGACCTGCGCCTTCCTCTCGCAGGTTGTGTTATACCTGGAGCACCGCTGGGCCTCTGGAATGAGGGAGTCAGGGGGGCTTTATACCTTTCAGGTGGTTTGCATGCAAAGTCCTGTGCAGTCAAGCCTGTGGACTGGTTCACCTGGGAATGAGGGAGATGCTTCAGGATTCCCCCCGGGGTGGAAGCAGGAAGGCTCCTGAGACTTGTACAGGCCTCAAGAATCTGCTGGGATAGGACTCATGTGGCTGCTACATAATTGAAGTGCAGCTTTGATTTTTTTTCTAAGATTTATTTATTTATTTGAAAGGCAGAGTTACAGAGAGGCAGAGAGAGAGAGAGAGAGAGAATCTTCCAGTGTCTAGTTCACTCCCCAAATGGATGCAACAGCTGGGGCTGGGCCAGGCTGAAGCCAGGATCCATCTGGATTGGTAGTACTTGGGCCGTCATCTGCTGCAGGGAGTGGGATCAGAAGTGGAGCAGCCGGGACTCGAACTGATGCCCATAGGGAATGCTAGCATTGCAGGTGGTGACTTAACTTGCTCTGCCACAATGCTGGCCCCCAGAGTTTGTTTTTTTTTTTTTAAGATTCTATTAATTTGAGAGGTAGAGTTACAGACAGTGAGAGGGAGAGACAGAGAGAAAGGTCTTCCTTCCTTTGGTTCACTCCCCAAATGGCCACAACAGCCGGATCTGTGCTGATTCAAAGCCAGGAGCCACTTGCTTCTTCCTGGTCTCCCATATGAGTGCAGAGCCATCTTCTACTGCTTTCCCAGGCCACAACACAGAGGTGGATTGGAAGAGGAGCAGCCGGGACTAGAACTGGTGCCCATATGGAATGCTGGCACTTCAGGCCAGGGCTTGAACCCACTGCAGCACAGCGCCGCCGCCCCCCCCCCCCCCACCTTGAAGTTTTAATCTGGGATGAAATGCTTTGCTGGGGCTCGGTGATGTGGCTCTTGCCTTTCACTCCAGGCTCCCTGCTGGCCTGTCCCCACTGTGTGCCATGGTGGACTTGCTTGCTGTTGCCTCTGGTTTTGGCGTGTGCAGTTCTTCCTATGGGGAAAGCCCGGCTGCCTTTGTTTCGCCTGGTCTGCTCCGTCAGGACGAGCCCCGCCTGTAGAGTCTTTGGGGACGCTCCTGGCACAGGAAGTGCTTGTTCCTCTGCAGCCGCTAGTGCTAGCACACACCCCTGTCGCTGTCATTCATCGTCTGTTTGCCTGGCTCTCCCAGGGGACTCTGTGCCTCTGGAGCACGGGACTAAGCTGTATTCTGTCGTCCTCCTTGGGTCTCGCACAGAGCGGGCACACAGTGATAAATCCCTGTTTTGAACAAGACATGGGAGGACTCCAAGGTGGGAGGTTGTGGCAGAGTGGCAACTTGGCTGCAGGTGGGTGTCAAGTGTCAAGGCCGGGGCCTTCTGGGCTGGGCCGTGTGGCAACTGCGTCACTGGCTGTGAAAGCACCAAGTCCCCCTTCCAGCCTCACCTGGTCTGAACTCTGAGGCCTCGTGTCATCTGTCTGGGGGAAGACAGATGCCTCTGAATTTACTGCAAAAATATTTATATGGGGATTTGTTACACATTGACATCTGCATTTTCATGCATACATTAGTAATTAATTTATAAAGGATGGAAACGAGGGGTAATATGCTGTGTGTATCCAGGTCAGGATCCTGTTGAGATCCCAGCTCTTTGCTTCAGTTCTGCCTGTGGAAGCGTCTGGACAACACCTGGGGGTGGCTCTTGGCTCTGTCCTAGGAGGCCGAAGAGCCCTTTGCCTGTGGGTCCAGGATACACAGTGGTGCTTCCTGTCCTGAGATCATGAGGACCACTTGCAACTAAAAAAACCCGCCAGCTTGTCTGTAAGCTTTCTTTTTGCCGGGCGCCTGCCCTGCACTTAATCTCTCTTGTGTCTGTGCAGTGTTCCCCACTGCACGTGAGGAAGTGAGGCCCACAAAGGTGACTGAGCACACCCAGGTCACCCAGCTGCTGAGAAATGGAGTCAGGATGCACATCCTGTGATGTTGACCTGGGATCTGGTGATGGATGTTTCCTCTGCTTCTGGACTTGGGACTGCAGCGAAAAGATCGACCTATGCACACATTTTAAAGATATTTATTTATTTATTGGATAGGCAGAGCCATAGAGAGGGAGGGAGAGACAGAGAGAGATATCTTTCATCTGCTGGTTCATTCCCCAAATGGCTTCAACAGCCAGGGCTGGGCCAGGCTGAAGCCAGGAGCCTAGAACTCCATCCAGGTCTCCCATATGGGTGGTGGAGGCCCAAGCACTTGGGCCATCTTCCTGTGCTTTCCCAGACACAGTAGCAGGGAGCTGAATAGGAAGTGGAGCAGCGGGGACTCGAACTGGTGCTCATATGGGATGCTTGCTTTGCAGGTGGTGGCTTAACCCAGTGTGCCACGATGCTGACTCCTATGCACTCATCTGTTTGTTCATCTGTTTGCACATTGGTTTTCTTATCCGACATGACTAAGTGCTAACTTTGGTGAGCTGGGTGGAGCTTGGCCTTTGAGACTGTGGGTGGACAGATCACAGGGAACACAGCCAGAGGTGCTGGGAGCAAGGCTTGGTGCAAAGTGGCCGTGTGGTGGTTCAGGGCAGGAGCCTGTGGACAGGGACAGGCTCCCTCAACTGAGTGTTTTCTCTTCCTTCATAGACATGCTTTTCCCTGTGTTCTTTCCCACGATTTGTCCAAGAAGAAGCATTAACTGTGCTCCTGTTGAGCTGTGTGCCGGCCTCTCGGGATCTGTGAGCCTGACTTTGCTCAGTCCTGGTCAGTCTGGTATAACATTGTGCCTCCCCTGCTGTCGTTCCCCGGTCCTGCTTGTCATCTGAGCCCTGCTCTTTCACCTTCTATTCTGGGAACCTGTCACAACTCCTAGCAGGCCTGACCCCACTGTACCTGTAGCACTCCCGTGACACTGTTGGACAAGGTGTGCCCTGGCTCTGAGAGCCTGCAGGCCCTCGCATTGTCTCTGGAGAGGGTGGAGTCAACCCTGGTGCCATGGCTAGTTTGCAGAACCCCAGGGTTCTGCCGATCATGGGACATGCGTTTGGGAGCCTCCAAAATAAACTGGGGTGGAAGCTTTAGAGGTACAAAAGGAGAGGAGTCAGGTTCTGGGGTCGCGCACACTGCTGCCCTGACCAGGGGACATTGCTGTCTTGTTTTCACTTTATACCTTGAGGAGACTCTTCTGATATTCTGCACTTTTGTGGAAAATACAGACCCTTAGTAGTTTGCTCATGCACCATCACACTGACTGTTTGGATCACATTCTGACAAGTGTTTTGCGCAGTAAGTGTTTTGTGTTGAGCTTCTGGAAGATTTAGGCCAAGCTCCTCCGATGTTGGCATGACCTGCGCAAATTCTTCCGCCTTGGTCCCCCTCAGCTACCACGTAACGCGCACCGTATGTTGGGAAACTAGAAACTTTGCAACCTTCTGGGCCCCTTCTGTGCTTGTTCAGTCATCCCAGGGCTCTTGGAGCTGGAGCAGGGTGTGGCCTGTGGACAGAGACTTGGGACATCATGGGGGTTGCATTGCGGTACGGCAGGTTGAGCTGCTGCTGGTGACAGTGGCATCTGTATCACACTGCCAGATTGAGTCTCAGCTGCTTCACTTCCAATCTAGCTCCCTGCTAAGGTGCCTGGGAGTACCTGGCTCAAGTACTTGGGTCCCTACCACCCATGTCAGAGACCCAGATGGAGTTCTAGGTTTCTGGCTTCAGCCTAGCACAGCCCTGGCTATTCCAGCCATTTGGGGACTAAACCAGAGGATGGAAGACATCTCTTTCTCTCTGTCTCCCACTCTCTCTATGACCCTGCCTTTCAAATAGATAAGTAAGTAAGTAAGTAAATAAATAAATCTCTCTGTCTCTCCCCCTCTCTCTGTTATTCTGCCTTTCAAATGAACAAATACATCATAAAAAATTTTTTAAAAAAGATTAGGGACATGGGCTTACAGTGTTGTCATGACCCAGGAAGCTCTCCTGCCTGGGCCTGTTGGTTCTGTCCTCACTGACACTTTCTGTGAATGTTGATTTTGCTCCTCTGTGACCACTTCCTCTTCTCTTTGGGAGCCAGATGGCCTTTGGCCTCCTTCCTGCTTTGGTTCTCTGTGGAGAGCCGGCCTGCAGCCTCAAGCAGCTGGCATGTTCTCCTCTGTTGTTCTTACCAGGCAGCCTGCCTATGTTGGCATCTCCCCTCTCTCCTGTGCCGGCCCACTGCCCGTCCTTATTCCAGCCTAGGATGCACTGTAAGTCCAGTGGGGCTCCAGCTGGGCTCAAGATAGTGCTCCCACCTTGTAGGCCCGCCAGGGGCCTGAGGGCATCACCCTCCTGAGCACCCCATCTACGTTAAATCACACCCACTGTCCTGACAGAAGGTGTGTGATGAAGTCCATGTCACTGGGCGCCAGCCAGTAATCAAGGCAACCTTGCCTGCTGGGCCTGCGCCCTCCTCTCCTCAGCGTGTTCCCTTTCCAGGCATGGAATTGCCAATCTTGAACGCCTCAGGAGCCCCGAGCTTGCCTGCAGACATTCTTAGTGTGGTTCTGTTCTCAGGGGTCTCCCTGCCTCACACAACCCCTTCTGTACACA